TTTTCAGATGTCCAGTGAGTGAGTACTCTGTAGTGCTGCTGTTTGTTTTGTTTGGGGCACTAGGGATTGAACCCAGGGGCACTCAATCCCTGAGCCACATCCCCAGCCCTTTTTAGTTTTTATTTTGAGACATGGTCTTGCTAGGTTGCTTAGGGCCTCACTAAGCTGCTAAGGCTGGCTTTGAACTTTGCAATCCTCTTGCCTTAGCCTCCTGAGCTTCTGGGATTACAGGTATGTACCACCACCCCTGGCTGTTTGTATTTTCCAAGGATCCTATAGTCACTTGTTCAACTTGCCTTTTTGATACTCATGTTACATATAAGCACATAAGGTACGCCATTCAGTAAAGATGTGTTTCATAACTCTTCATGGAACCCCCTTTCCATCAGAATGTCCAGATTGTGGAATATAAAATAGGAAAGTCTGACTGGAGAGAGTTTTGTTTTTTGTCTTACAGAACCCCAGGCCTCATGCATTCTAGGGAAGTGTTATACCATAGAACTATATCCCCAGACCTTTTTAAATTTTGAGGCAGGGTCTTACTGAGTTGCCTAGAATGGCCTTGGACTTGTGATCTTCCTGCCTCAGCCTCAGTAGCAGGATTACAGGTGTGTACCACCATGGCCAATGCTTTTAAGATAGGCTGGTTTCTAATTAGTGCAGTGCACCTCTGACCATAGCAGCCTTTGCTTGCAGCATGAAGTGCATGTTGGTATTCAGACATTCCAGAAGGAGCTGTTCCTCCATATAGCTATGGGGTGGCTATTTGCTTTGGAGAGACAGCCCCAAGCCTGGCCCATGAAGTACTTGCCTCTTTGCTACTTGCCTCTTTACCTGAGCAAAGAGGCAAGTGCTTCATAGGCCAGTCTTGGGGCTGTCTCTCTTTGCCTCCTTTGACCTTGTTTCTCCAATACCAAATTTCCACCCTTCTCCCTCAGCTTTCTTTCCATGTGCTTACTGAGACCCTGAAAGGGCTTGTTTCCTGATCTTATTTCTTTGGTCTTAGTTTATTATGTGTCCCATCATCTCCCTTTGTCTTTTAGTTACTTATGCACTTGTCTTATCTCACCTAGATATAATACCTGGTGTCTGATTCAAGAGTCTGACACTAGTAATGATGGCTGGCTCTTCACTGGGTGGGTGTAGGGCTGTGTCAGAGTGAAGGGGTGCTTCTGAGGAAATCAACCTGCTCTGCTCTGCTCTCGTGGGCTCCTTGGTGTGGCAAGCTCTGCTTTTTTTTTTTTTTTTTAAATAAATTTTTTAAAGTTTATATATGACAGCGGAATGCATTACAATTCATATCACACATAGAGCACATTTTTTCATATCTCTGGTTGTATACAAAGTATATTCACACCAATTCATGTCTTCATACATGTATAATGTCCATCACATTCCACCATAATTTCTAACCCCATACCCCCTTCCACCCCGCCCTATCTTTTGAGTTCGTCTATTCCTCCCATGCTCTCCCTCCTGACCCCACCATGAATCAGCCTCCTTATATCAGAGAAAACATTCGGCATTTGTTTTTTGGGATTGGCTAACTTCATTTAGCATTATTTTCTCTAACTCTATCAATTTACTTGAAAATGCCATGATTTTATTCTCTCTTATTGCTGAGGCTCTGCTTTTAGTAGAGCCTATCCAGATGAACATATAAGGCATGGATTCCAGATTTGGGGAGGTGACTGAGATTTTCATGTTTAATCAGTCAGCCTCCCTGGGTAGAGACACTATCAGAATCATAAGAAATACGGGCATCTAAACAAGCTCCTTTCATGTTTCCCAAAGTACTTATGTTTCAATAACATGAATGTTCTGGAGAATCCCCTTCTTTTATACCATTTTGTAAACACTCCATTGGAGTTTTCATGAGAAATAGATTTGGGTAACTTTACTTGGATAAGATCACTTTCTATATATTTCTACCAACCTGAAAAAACACATTTAAACTGGAATAAGGTAAAGTGAATGGAAGCTCCATTTTGGTAAGTTGAAAACAAGTAGGGGACTTTATAAATCTCATGCAAAGGCTGGCAGTCTGTCCAGCTCCTGGACGCTGGATGTGCTGTTGATGTGGTGGAGCCTGGGAACAAGTAGGCAACTGTCGGAGTTGGTTTTTGTCGCCTTACCAATACCTGAGTTCAAGTAATTTGTGAAGAGTAGAGGCCTATTTAACTCAGTTCTGGAGGCTAGGAATCCCAAGATCCTGGCCCAGCATCAACTCAGCATCTGGCCCAGGCTTTCCTGCTGTATCAAGACATGGTGGAGGGCACCACAGGAGAGACAGCAACTGCTGGAGAACTTGCTTTGATAGATTATTGCAAGAGTAGCATTGCTATCAGTCCATAGTGGATTAATCCATTGACAAGGACAGAGCCCTCATGACCTAGCTACCTGCCAAAGATGCCACCTCTCCATTAACATAATGACTTGGGGGATTAATTTTCCACCACATGAAATACGGGGAACACGTTCAAATTGTAGCAGCAACCTTATGTGTGGGGGTCTTTAAAATCTATAAAATTTCAGGCACTACTGTGTTAATTATAAAGTTTATAATGCTGCTGAATTTTCTTGTTACTTCAATTCTGAAAAATATCTGTTGGTACCTCTTCAACACTCATTTATTCAAAACAGTGTATTTGCCACCTGCTATAGGAAGTGCAGTGCCAGGAGTTCAGCTGTACAAAGATGGGTGAACTAGACATGGAAAGACAGGTTGCATGACAGAGTGTGTCAAGCTAGTGATCATGCAGGCAGCATGTGATTATGGCAGCCTGGTGAAGAAGGGCTTCAGGATGCCAGAAGGGGCGTGCTCCTGCTGGCTAGGAAGACCTTGGTAGGCTCTGTTAAGGGGACGACCATGTCCCCTGCAAGGCTCCCTTGCTTACCTCCCAACTCCAGGAAGACAATTGGGTTCCTGCCAGTGCTCTGGAACTTTGAATAACAAACACGTTAAGTTTGTAGCAGAAGGTGTCTGAACTCTAACCTTTCCATTTTGTAACTAACCTATTTGTCAGTGAAATAAGAAATCTGGAGAGGAAATTAATGATTGTGAGAAGTCTTAAAGATTCTTAGTGGGATTTTTTTTTTAAATGTGCAGTTCATCCTGAGGCGGGGAGGAATTATTCCTTTCAAGAATCTTGTCCCTAACGCTAAGCTGTAACAGCAGATTTATTTAAAAATAAACTTCGAAAGGTTTATTTGATGTCTTTGAGCTCTACAGACTATTTATTACCTCTCAGGTGTGGGAGGAAGAGAATGTGTTTTGGAGGACTTCTTGATTCTAGATCACCTACCATCTGAATAATAAAATCTATTCTGAGATTTTGATGAACAAAATTTTTAAAGAATGTAAATTCGCCTTAAGGCTCTGAGCGTGTTTTCTTTAATGTGATGGTTTTCACCTCCCAGGGGAGAAGCCTTTCAACTGCAGCTGGGATGGCTGTGATAAAAAATTTGCGCGTTCAGATGAACTGTCTCGTCACCGCAGAACTCACACAGGGGAGAAGAAGTTCGTGTGCCCTGTGTGTGAACGGCGTTTCATGCGCAGTGACCACCTGACGAAGCATGCCCGTCGCCACATGACCACCAAGAAGATCCCAGGCTGGCAGACAGAGGTCGGCAAGCTGAACAGAATCGCCTCGGCAGAGTCTCCTGCCAGCCCCCATGCGCCCCTGCCTGCCTCTTCCTGAGAGTGGGTGGGCGTCACTGTGATTCCTTGGGAATAGCTGATGGCTTCCTCTAAAAACAAGGCCTCAGAGGCCCAGGAGCTGGTTCCGATAGTGTGTTAACCCTTCTTTTCTGGTTGGGACCCTGTTCAGTATCTTTTGTAGTTTGAGAAGTTTCTTTCCTTCTTTGTCTTTCTTTCTTTCTTTTTAAAGGAAATAGAAGAAAATTTGATGATCCAAATCACCAGCATTCAAACATTTCGGCAATAAAGTTTACAAAATCTGGATTTTTACAACCTTCCTATTCATATTTTGTAGAAATGAGACAGGGTACTAATTTTATACTGTTTTTTATAAAAATATTTATATTGTTGGTGCTCCAATCATCAGTTTCTAGATAGATGATTTTACCACCTTATTTTCAGCTTTTAATAGCGAAGTTTTATAATGACTCTGCTTTTGCTTTTAGTAAGCTTCGTACATTATTCAGAAAAAAAAAATCGTAAGTTATCAGGTCTTCTCAATTTAAGATTTTTTTAAAAAAAATAACAGGTTGAATAAGGGCCTCTTATTAAAAAGAAGGAAAGGAAAATTTTGCAGTCAGCTTCATAATGTTTTTAAGAGAAATTCCAGGCAACCAATCCTGTAGCCCACGTAACTAAATTCTGGTTGGCTAGAACTAGTCATTTGTGTGTGTTGCGTGACCTGTAAAGGATGCACTGGGGTTTACTCAGGGCACTGCCAGCTCCTGGTGCTGGGGCTGCTGCGTGATCTGAGCATCTGTGTGCTGTTGCTATCTGGGCCATTGCTCTGCTGAACCATTCTTGTTTGTACCTGAGGCCCCCAAAAGAATGCTAGCCCTCAAACCTGGCTGCTTTGTTCATTGTCAGTTGACCTCTTCTGATGTGGCCTTATCCATACTGCATTGTGAGTAGAATGACTACTTAGAAAAAAGGTTGCATGGATCTTCCAAGTACAGTTCATCTGAAGTGAGGTGCAAGTGCATACAGTTGGCACCAAGGTTCAAGTTCCTTTGTTAAGGATGAAAAACTAGGAAGTGTGTGTTATGCATAACTGGCAGTGTAATCCCACCTGACTGACCTTTCATTCATTTTGTTTGAAAGATATTGTTTTGATCAGACAGTCTACCTTGCAAGTAAACCGTGGGCACTGCTTTTTAGCCATGTGAGCACAGATACACAGGAGATTGGCTGCCTGGCGGAATTGGTTTTGGATAAATGTTGGAAGTTCAGGCAACAGAAGAAATGAAAAAACACAGAATGTTGCACTATATCGGTAGCCTGGGAATATTTTTTGTGCTGATTTGTTTTTGCCTTTTAGTTATTGGCACTTAACCTTTATTAAAATGATGGTAAGGTGACATGTGGGGTAAGTAAAATTAGGGTTCGTGTTCAGGTCTTTTTAGTCTAATATAACCCTCTCTTGATCCTTCATTGTATGTTACTTGATACCCATTAAGTTGTCCTTTAGTATCAACTGCTTTTCACCACCATATGTATGTGTGTGTCTTTAGGAGATTTCCACATTTTGGACAATTCCACAGGTGTATGTTCTTGTTGTCATGAGGCATGATATAGTCACAGGAGAGCGATGGTTGTACATAGTTTGTGTTTTCCCCACCACCCCAGTCCTCCCATCCTCCTAAGTCACCATAAACACTTTTGACTATGTGTGTGTCGTAAATGGCATCAGGTTTGGACAGTTGCTTAATTATGTCATACCAATGATGTTTGTCCAGTGATCTGGGGTAGTGGAAGGTCTTTGAATATTTGGTTGCTTGTGACAGAACTTCATTCTCTGAACAGTATTGTAGATGTATTGAAATGGTATTAATTTAAAACTTCCACTTCCTGATTAGATTTAGAAATACTTTCTGAAAAGTTGGGGAAAAGTTCCCGTCTGAAAAATCCTCCTGAGAACCAAGCCCTTGTAGGCTGCAGCGGGTGAGTGAGGCATCCCTGTGCTGACAGTGCGGGTGCTCGGGTGCCCGAGGCCACGCCGGCAAGGCAGGTTCCCCCTGTGCACTTTATTGCTTGAGCAGATTTGCTTGATTTTTGACATTGAGCCTTTTCAGTAGTTTCAGTAAAATTTGTTTCATAATTATGTTTTATGTAACAGACTTTGAATTCTTATTTAAATGAGAATGTGTAATGTAACTTTTTTCTTTGAATCATATAAAACTTTCTTGATTTGCAAACTGGACTTGTGTCCTGTGTCATTAACTGTGCCCAGTGCCTTAGTGTAACACCCAGTGTCTTCCAGGATGAGTGGGCAGACCTGGCCCGACCTGAACTCTCCTTTTTCTCGGGTTTAGTCTGTTTCTTTGCATTCCTTTGGGAGTTCTCTCTGAAAGGAATGTATGAGGAGGTTGCTTCTCTGCTGGCCACTGGAACACACATGTCTGGTCCTGGCAGGATAGGACCCAGCATGCTGGATGACCCTTGGGCCCTTGGGGCCTGTGCTCTTCCCCTGCCAGCGGTGGGTGTCTGCCCGAGGGGGGACTTGGAAGAGGTGTGTGGAAACATTTTTGCTGCCTCACTCCAGCCCTTGCCCAGGGTTAAAGACAACGTGAGGGCTCCTCAGTCTTCCTCTGCACGTTCTTCCGTGAGCCTGCTCCCACTGAGGCTTTGTATCTACACACAAAGGTATGTAATAAAGAGCTCCTGTGGGTGTCACCAGAGGCTTTGTGGGCTGGGATCTTGCTGTCTGCATCATTGAGCAGAGGTGACAGTGGCCCCAAAGGCTACAGATGTCTGCTGTTCCTGTCTGTTTGGTCTATTGCTGGCCCTTGTCATCTGGCCTCTTGATTCTGGGGAGTCCTAATACTCATTCTTCGAAACTGCTGGGCTCCCTGGGTCACCTTTCCCAGGCTTCACAGATGTGAAATCTCAACTGTGAAGACCCCGAGGATCGATCTCTCCTTGCACCTCTTGCCTGAACTAGGTAGTCCTGCACCTATCCCGTGACACCTGCCCAGTCTGCATCTCAAACCCGACATGGCCAAGCCCCACCTCTCTTCCCCACCCTTGTTTTTCTCACAGTTGGCCCCGTTGTCCTTGAACTGCACGTGAGTCCTTGCAGTTCAGGTGCAAGACCTTGGAGTCACTCTGCTCTCACCCCATATCCAACCCGTCACAGTTCTTGACTCATCTTTCAAAACATCTGGGCCATTGAGGTTTCTATGAGTTCTCCACAAGAAAATGCAGAGGTATCATCTTTTTCTTGGAAACCAGTTGAATGTGTCATATTCTAACAAAATGATGATGTAAAGTTGTAAACATTTACATCAGGTTCAAAACCAGATTTACCTGGCAGTAAGAAATAAAAGTTCAACTTCTTTTAAAATAAGCATTCACATTATTAAAATAGTAATGACTTTCATCTTTATATCAAGAGGAATGTTTTGGGCCTAGGAGAGGAACAGTTCCCAGCTTTGGGGAGGATCTAAGCCAACCCCCCAGAGGCTGGTGACCGGCTCTGCTGTTCTGTGCTCTGACTTCGCAGTGCAAGTCTCCCAGCTGCAAGCAGCTGATCAAAGGCACTCTTGTCAACTGTGAAAGTTCACAGAAAGGCTTGTCAGTGAGACTCACTGGCCCGCGAGCACAGGGATGGTGCCAAATGGCTGTCCCTTCCTCAGTTTCTGAGAGGCTCTGGCCCCAGTGCTGGCAGCACTTCTCAGGAAATGGAGGCTGCCCAGGGAGGCCTCGGTGTTGGTGGGTAAATGTGAGATGAGCCAAGATCTCTTATGGCTTCAGCAAAAGCTGCTGTTATTCCATCCAGCCCCTTGACACTGCCACCATTTCTTACTGCAGGAGGTTCTGGGCAGGCAGGTTTCTCATTTGTCAACTGGGAACATTGGAAGGCTCTTCTGGCCTCGTGACTGGGATTGTCTACCTTCTGCACAGGGAGAAAGGGTGTAAGGCCCTGTGGGGGATGGCCAGGCTACCTGCCAGAGTGGAGCTAGACAGCAGGTACCCTGAGACCCTGTCCAGGTGGCTGGACACCCACTCCCAATACAGAAGGCAGTTTTGTGCACCAGCAGGGTGAGGCCTCAGTGGCAGTGGGAACTGTGTGATCTCAGACTGTCAAAGAGCCTCCAGAACTATCTCTTGGAGAGGGAAGCTGGGGCCTAGAGAAGGAAAGTGAGGAGCTCTGCCATCCCAGCCCAGTGAAAGAGCTGGGGTGGAGATGCCTCCAGCACCACGGAGGCTGAGAAAGGCCTGAAGTCCAGGCCCTAACCCCAGACTCAAGTGCAGCTGGGGTGCTGCACTTTGGCTCTTCTGGGAGCCAGTTAGAGATGCAGAATCTCAGGCCCCACTAGGCCTACAGAATCAGATCTGTACTTCAGCCACATTCCATGGGGTTCATTGCTCATGAAAATCCAGATGCACTGAGTGGATGGGCCTCCTCTGGAGACTAGCCGGAGGACTGAGGGCACACCTTGGTGCATGTTCCAAGAGGAATCCTCAAGCTCCAAGAGAACCCTACAGACAGGTCTCCACCTATGGCTGGGTACCTGCACAGCTGATGCCCTGGCCAGCAAGTGAAGTTGAAAAGGTCAGTTTGGAAAAGTCCAGGAAGAGCTAGGTTTTGCAGAAGTTCAGCTGAGCCCTGGTGGGGAGTGATTCTCACACAGCCCAGGGTCTATGGAGCCATGGTCACGCCCCTGCACGGCTGACCTCAGCGACAGTACTCCCGCTCTATGCTGGCCATCAGCTCCTCCTCCGCGTAGTCATAGGAAATGGCTGATTGCCTCTCGGGCCTCTTGTGGCTGCTGCTTGGGGCTCTGCAAGCAGAAGACCAGACACAGACAAGATGTTACCCTCAAAGTGTGTCTCTATCAGTGACCACATTGGCCCCAAGCTGAAAACCCCTGCCCAGGGACCTCTGGATCCTTCTTCCCCGACCCCCTGATGTGGTCAGCCTTGCCTGCTTCTCTGTCTTCATCATTCCCTCGAATCCCACTGAGACCTCAGGCTGAGCAGGAAGCCAGTGCCTGCAGAGTTGGAGAGAGAGTGGGGGGCAGCAGGAGCCCATCCCAGCATGGCCACCTTGGGCTCATCGTTTGCACCCTGAGCACCCTCTTTTTTTTTTTCTTCTTGAAAATGGAGCTTGTTCATAAATTTATTCTGAGGCTTAAAAATGATAATGTGTGGACAGAGTGACAGGGTCTCACCCATGGTCAGCCCTCCATCAGGGAGTCTAGAAGCTCCATGTCCATTTGCCAACTCACTTCCTGTGCCTGTACCCTTGGCATGGCAAGGGGACTGCTACCAGGTCAGGGTGGCTGTCCAGGGTCCTGCCACTCCTTGAGCAATCAGGCAGAGTGACTGAGATGGGACCTGAACAGGGCTCCCCTTCCTGCAGCCTGAGCTCAGAGAAGGGCCCTCTGGCCTGGACCCTGCCCTCCACCCGGCCCTGGCTCCCAGGCTTCCCAGACTTTGGACATCTGAGTGGCACTGGCTGTGTCTTCAGTGCTTCCCACAGCTGTGTCGCCTTGTGCAGATGGCCTTGTGCCCACCCATGGTGTCCTGGTAGGACCCGTGGCTGGGCTGGGAGCTGCTACCAGGAGCTGCTGCCTTTGAGGGGGTGGGGCCCAGGTCTGCAGCTGCCCACAGGGTCAGGGTGAGAGGCCAGAGGTGCCTGCCGCTAGTTGTGGGATGGTGACCGCTCCCGCCTCCCGTCACTCCAGCTAGAGAAGGCCCTGCCACTTGCCAGTCAGGCAGCTAGGGCACTTCCTCTTTCCTGGCCTCAGATTCCCCACTTGTGAGCTCTGTAAGGTCCACCTGATGCTTTTGGCCAACACTTATTCGGGGAGCAGCCTCCAGGGCCCCATCTGGTTCTCTCAGAACTCAGGACAAGAACAAGACCTGGGCAGTCACTTGATCACCACCCCGGTGCAGTCCCCGGACTTCACAGGAAGGGTGAGCTCTGACAGCGGGCTCTACGCACACACGGACCCCTCTCATGCCTGACACGGCACACGCTAAGTGCACAGCTGGCTATGGCACTGCATTTATTAAGCACCTACCATGTGCAAACACTCTGCAAAAAGCATGCGCTACCGTTGTTAAAATGTGGGTCTCAGTAAATGTTCCTTCTGCCTTGGAGACACAGTGGGAAGGCAGATCCCAGCTGCTCTGACAGACTTCGACTAGTGGTTCCTCTTCCCTTCACGACTGACCCTTGGGGTGGACAGATGGCACCTGTTGTGTCTGGCGCTTGGGATGTACTGAACAGGAGTAGCTGCCTGCAGGGTTCCCTGCCTCGCAAGGTCCCGGCAAAGCCTGGTACAGAGGACAGATGCTGTCATTGAACTCCTGTTCCACCCCCTCCTGAGGTCCTCTCCACTGAGGAATATGCCTGAGATGCCCAAACACCCTCCAGGGCAAGCTGGGGACTGTCCTTCAGGAATCCTGGGGCACCACTCTGGGCCTGGGGCACCCCAGCAGGACTTCAAGCCCTTCTGGGCTCATGCAGCCCAGCCCTCTACACTCAGAGGTGTGAAGGGCGAAGCCTGAGGACAGGCGCCCAAAGTCACAGGGACCTGGTTGCAGACTCCCCTCACTCTGTCCTTTCCCACTGGGCACCCCAACACTCTTATAAGTGGGACCCCAGGAAGGAGAGGCAGGAAGTGACACAGAAGGCTGACAGAATGGCCCCGGGCTGGGATCGGCAACAGAGTTGGGCTGTGCCAGGTCTTTGAGGAGCCGGGGCTCCCTGTGTGCCCAGCCACACCCACCATGCCATGGGCTACTGGCCTGGGAGCTCGGCCAGTGGAGGGGGGCAGTGTTGTCCACTCTTCCCCCCCCAACCCCTGCCACTATGGGAGTGGGGCACGCTGTGAAGAGGAAGATCCAGCCCTGAGTAGATTCTTGGGAAGTCATCCCACCCTCTAGGGAGTCAAGAAGGAACCTTCATTTAAATTATTAATTATTCAATCAGTTTTTCTTCAGCAGGGATTCCTAAAGTCATACACTATTTTTAAATAAGATATTTTAGTTGTAGATGGACACAGTGCATTTATTTTTTTAAAATATTTATTTTTTAATTGTAATTGGTTGGACACAATACCTTTATTTTATTTTTTTATTTTTATGTGGTGCTGAGGATTGAACCCAGAGCCACACTCAGCCAGGAGAGTGCTCAACCACTGAGCCACCATCTCAGCCCAAAGTCACACACTTTTTAAAAAAGAAAAAGACCTTTCCAGGGAGAAAGGAGTCTTCCCCAAAGGAAAGAACATGCCCCCCACCCCCAACAAACCTATCATAATTGGATGCTACATGAAGTGAGGTGAGGCCAGGGACATTCGTACCGGACTCTTGGGTCAAGAATTTTCTAAAATTTACTAGGCTTCTGACCATGGTGCATCGTGCCTTGGGGCACTCATCAGGGATACTGGGAAGAGTCACTCTCCCTCCCCAGCACCTGTGTCCACTGGCCTAGGGCCTTCCTTGCAGGCAGGCACCTGCAGAAAGAGCACAGCACCGGCAGGTACAGGCAGAGCCTGGAGACTCCTAGCCAGGGCTCCCATCACACCCTCCTCCCTGACTCCCGGCCAGCCCTGCAGGAACAGCTCAGGGGAGCAGCAGCTTCTCCCAGCACACTGCCCCAGCTCTGTTGCTTCCGTGGGTCCCCCTCCCTTGGGAAAGAGTGCCCACATCACAGAGGATGGCCAGGACTCCAGTGGAGGCCCACACACCCAGACTCATCTTCAACATTCCTTTCAACCCACATCTCCAAAGCCCCACCTCACCTGCGCCATGAGGGTCAGGGACAGATCTGTATCTCCCTGCCTGCCTGAGGCCTACAGGCAGAGGGGACAAGGTGGGGTCACAGGTATAGAGAAGGGGCCTGGCTGGGGCTTGCTGAAGGAGGAGATGCCCTCATGTGAAGAGGAGGGGGTGGGATTTGAAAAGGAGGTATCTGAACTGGACTTTGAAAGCTTTTTTACTTTGATAATTTGTTTTGGAAAATTTTAAGTATACAGAGGAGTCAGAACTATAGATTCAACAATTGGGTAAAATGAGAGCAAAGTTGCTATGTTTACTTTATCACATTAACTATCTACTTCATCTGATTTTTCTAACACATCCCCAAATCAGCTACACTGGGCTGGGGTCATGGCTCAGTGGTAGAGCGCTTGCCTGGCATGTGTGAGGCACTGGGTTCGATTCTGAGCACCACATATAAATAAGTAAATAAAATTAAGGTTCATCAACATCTAAAAAATATATATTAAAAAAAAAGAGCTACACTGAGGGCAACAGCTCTCCACGCTGCTGGAGGGGTGGTGGGGGGGTCACCCGAGAGTAGACAGACAGGCCTGGTCTCTGGGGAACTTTAAAGAAGAAAGGACTGGGTACCAAGAAGAAAGCAGGGCACAGGAGGGATTTGGGGTGGCTGGAGCCAACAGAATTAGAAGCTTCTGGAGCAGACATGCCCCTACCCACCCCCCACTCCACACTTACTCAGAGGTATGGCTGTCCTCTGGGTGGTCTTCAGCCTGAGGTTCTGGGGACACCTTGAGAAAGACAAAGAAATAGATGTCAGAAGATTGAAGAAATAGGTGTCAGAAGGTTGAAGAAATAGGTGTCAGAAGGTTGCAGCTGCCGAATGCTCTGGCTTCGTGACAGGCAGTGGTCACCACATTCCACCCAGAACACTTAAACATCAGAGCTGGAGAGACTCTCAGGCAGCAGAGACCCATCTGCCCATTTCCCAGGTGAGAAAGCCCAGGCTTCGAAAGGGGAGTGACAAAGAGCAAATGGCAGAGCCTTGGACAGACTCCCTGCCTAGCATGACAGCACCCCTCCTACCGCCAGAAGTTGATGGCCACTGTCACTAGCAGGAGGGCACCTGTCTTCACCTCCAGGGATCACATTAGTTCCTAGTTTTGAGAATTGTTTAGTTTCACCTGCAGCAAAGTACGTATGCTATTTCATCAATTAAAATATGAATGTACTTTTAAAAGAACTATGAACAATAAATTTAAAATTTATAAATTACCCAGTCTAAGGAATTTTGTGATAGTATTTTGTTGTTGTTGTTATAGCATCTTGAACTTAAGACACCGGCAGAGGGAAAAAAAAAATCCTTAAAGGCAGGAAGAGAGGAGAAGGTCACCGATAAGAAACCCCAACCAATCAATCAATCAATCAGAAACCAAGACTCAGATGACAGCAGCATGGGACCACACTAGAATAGCTCCAAAAAATGTAAAAGAAAGTTATTTTGAACTCAAACTTGTAATTCTGAATCCTCATCTAGTGTTAGAGCAAACTAAACACAATTTTCAGACGTACATTCAGAGTTTATCTTTGGCTACCCTTTCTGGGCAACAAATATTTATATAAGATTTTAAAAAATGACTCATAGAAGACCAGAGCTCCGTGAGCCTGATGGACTTAACCCAGGAACACAGGGACATGGGACAGGGGAACATCAGGGTCTGTGCTGGAGCCCTGGAAAGCACCCTGTGCATGTCAGAAGTTTCCACAACCCCAACTGAGTGGCCGGAACAGCTGACTGTGATGGTTCAAGGGCCCTTGTGAAAGAGGAGGCACTTGGTCTGCATGTCGCAGAGAGTGGACCCACAGGGACAGCAATGGGCTCAACACAGAGAACTATCAGACAGAGACTGGGAGTCGCAATGGTTGGTTCTCCTATCAGAATTCAACACCGAGGCAAGCACACACCTGAAGTCAAGCCTTCTTGTTATAGGATCACCACCCGTGTTCAGCGGTGAAGAAGGGCCTGTGGGGCTCACAAGGACAGTCACCCCGTGTCTTTCACTTTCCTCTCCCCTTCCTTCCAGGCCTGGCCGGCTGGGTTCAGTCCTCCAAGCTGCCACCTTCCTCCCTGTTGGCCTGGCCAGGGGCCCTCTCAGGACTCTGCTCATCATGCTGGTTTGCAAATTTGCAAGTGGACCCTGGAAGGCAAGGAGGGTAGGAAGGACCCCCAGCCCTAAGCCAGGGACTGTCAGAGAAGACGCTGAGCTGTCCCCTGCCACCTTTCTGAAAACAGCAATCCCACACAGCAGTGCTGAGCACCAGTCATAGGAACCTGCTTGCTCTGCAGACTTTGGGGAGCTTCTCAGGGGTTTGTTTTTCTTTGAACAGTTGAACAAGATAAGCTCTTCTCCCCGGTATCCTGGCGCATACTCCCATGTGGCCAAGAGAGGCTGAATTGGGCTTCTGCCCTGCAGGAAGCTGCTTATGTTCTCAAATTCTCTTCCATTCTCAGACACTGGGAACCACACAGATCAATCATTCATCAGGTATTCGGTCAGCCTTCCTAGTCTACCCAGGGCTACATCAGCACTTTGGGCACATGGGCTCTGTACCCTCAAGGGAGGGGGAATCTCACTAGATAAGTATGTCCTAAACATCCAGCACAGCAAGACATCTGAGACCAAAGACATCCTGTGCACCAGGAGAGGATGGTGCAGGATGGTTGTCAAAAGACTTGATTTGAAAAAGAAACAGACTCAGTTCTCCTCCTTTTCCTCCTCATTATTGAGCCCAGGGGCACTCTCTCACTGAGCTATATCCCAGCCCTTTTTATTTATTTATTTGCTTGTTTAATTTATAATGCTGACTGCTGTCTCTGGTTTTTTTAAACACCTTTATTTCATTTATTTATTTTTATGTGGTGTTGGGGATCTAACCCAATGCCTCATGCATGCTAGGCAAGAGCTCTACCACTCAGCCACAGCTACCGCCCTCTTTTTACTTTTTGAGACAGGGTCTAGCTAAATTGCTGGCAATTTTCTTATCTTTTCCAAGCATTGACTTTCTCATCTATAAAACAGATTTATTGTGAAATATCATGAAGTGATTGCAACAGTGCCTGGTAGTTAAGAATTTCTCAATAAATACTAGCTGTGACTATTTCTATTACTATCATCAGACCAGTGCTATGTCCTCTGCTGTTCTCTATTATTAACCTGTTAACATTAGTTAATCTTCTCCAACAAAAACAGCCATTCTCCCAAGTTTATAGAAGTACACAATAAATACTAAGCATTCCCTGAACTATGTTGAATGACTAGTTGTTAACTAGTTAAGATCTTCGGTTTAAAATCTATATTAGCACTTGGCAGAGTGAAAATAGTATAACAGAGAGTAGGATTCAAATCCCAGTTTTGCCATTTAATAAGGATGCACCTTTGGATGAATTGTGAGGCTCCCTGGTCTCCCTCTGCATAGTGGGGAGGTGCCTCGGGAGTGCTGCGAGATGACAGATAATGGGTGCAGAGAACACCTTTACTATAATAGCATCATTCAGTGATCAGGGAGCGGGGCACTGTCCTAACTCACCATTACCTAACCTAGACTAGCCTCAGAGGCAGCCTTGCTGACACCCTGTGTACTGAGTACACCCTGTGTACTTGGTCTTCAAGGCTGGGGAGAGGCTCCAGGGTGACACATCCTTCCCTGGGAAGCCAGTGCTGCTGTGGCTCTTGGGAAGTGGCATGGCAGTCCAGGGTAGCAAGCCACGCATTGGTGTGTCCTGCTGAGGTAGGCCTGGTGGGGCTGGCCGGAAACATTTGCACTTGCCCACCTGGTGGAGGTGGATAGCACAGCACTGGCCCAGGGGCCATGGATGACCATGGCTACTGGTGGCTGGTGAGCATCCCCATGGGGGACAGCCCACATTCACCACAGTCATTCACACACTCCTGTAGGGGAGAGCACAGAGGGAAGGGAGGATCCTGAGCCAGCAGGGAATTCCTAAAGGAAGAGGGATAGGGAGTGTGAGCCAGTAGTGAAGGCCAGAGACAAGTCCCAGCAAATCATTCACATGCACCAGCCCCAACGTACAACCCCCACGCACACCCCTCCTAAAGCAGCCCAGTCCAGCCCTTCTCGAGGCAACTCAGACTAGACTATTGAAAAGTTCTTTAATGTTCTTTCTAAACTTTATTATGATGAATATACATAATCTAAAATTTACTATCTCAACCACTTTTAAATGCACAGTTCAGTGTCCTTAAGTACATTCATGTTGTTGGGCAACCACTGCCACCACAAATCCGTGGAACTTTTCTTTTCATAACTGAAACTCTATCCATTAAACCCTACCCCCTTCCCATCCCAGCCCTGGGGAACCACCAGCTAGCTACCTTGTCTCCTGTGAATCTGACCACTCCCACTTCCTCCCGGGGAGTGTATGGTTTGTCCTTCAGTGGACGGTTTATTTCATGGAGCACAATATCCTCAAGGTTTGTGTCATATGTTAAAGTGTACGATGGCATTTACTTTATTTATTTATATATTTTTTAAAATTCTTTTTTTTTTAAATATTTATTTATTTTTTAGTTTTCGGCAGAAATAACATCTTCGTTTGTATGTGGTGCTGAGGATCGAACCCAGGTCGCACGCATGCCAGGCAAGCGCTCTACCGCTTGAGCCACATCCTCAGCCCTGTTTATTTATTTATTTTTATACTTGGGATTGAACCCAGGGACACTGAACCACTGAGCTACATCCTAGCCCTTTTTAATACTTTATTTAGAGACAGTCTCACTGAGTTGCTTAGGGCTTCACTAAGTTGCCGAGGTTAGCTTTAAACTCAAGAGCCTCCTACCTCAGCCTCCTGAGCCTCTGGGATTACAGGTGGGCCATGGCACCTAGCTTGGAATGTCCTTCTTAAAGCTGAATCAGATTTCATCGTATGCATAACTTGCACTTTGCTCGTCATCCTTCCATTGACGGACATTTGGGTTGCTCCCACCTACGTTGCACCTATTGTGGCAATGCCGCTACCAAAGTGCGTGTACGAGAGCTCTGTGAGTACTTAGGGTATGAATGAGGTTCCTTTCTAGGCAAGCAGCTATCTCCCAGCCCTGTGAAGCCCCTTCCTTACATCAATACCCAGCCACTGGGCTTGGCTCTATTCTCAGAGGCAACATAGAAACAATGAAGCCATTTTAACCAATCGTGCTGGGGCCATTGTTTATGAAGTCCTCCAACTTGGAACTTGTTCCCCCTGGTCAGTGTCAGCTGGAGCCAGCTTTTGCTGTCACCTGGGTGGCTGCTTTTCCTCTCATCAGGATTTTGTAAGGATTTTGACACATAGTTTCTGCAGTCAGGCAATTGAGTGAAAGAGCCCAGGATTTGGAGTTGCGTAGGCATCACCATCTGGCCCTGGCTGGTCTCTCCTTTTCTCAGCGCCATAAGATGTTCTGGACACTGCTAATGGGAAGTCACCACAGCCTCTCCAGGAAGCCACAGCAGTGGAATCCATCATATATGAGAACTGCAGCCCTGGAGCTGGCTGCACATGAAAGTCACACTCTCTCTTTTGCGGTTTTTCTGATCACAGCCTGGTTGCATGCGTACCATTTTCACCAGAGTTTCTCTTCATCTGCCATTTGATATGTGGCCCTTTCAACCAGTTTGTTTAAGCCTTGAACTTGACTTTCTCAGATGGGACATGCATTTTCTCCCTCCCAGAACTCAGAGCTTGCTGAAACAAGGGGGACGGGAGGACACAGCCCCAGGCCCAGAGCAGACACAGACACCTGCCATCAGCCAGCTGGCTGCCAGTGCCCTCTGGGTCAGATACACACCTGGATGGGGCTGATGCTGGGCTGGGCTGTGGGAACTGGGCTGAGCTCAGAGTGTGCTTGGGAGCCTTCGCCTTGTGGGCAGGGAAATGCATGTCACCCCTCCTAGGGAGGCTTTGGAGAAACCAAACCACAGCTGAACAAGCAGCAGCACATGTGAGAAGGAACTGAATATAATGATCTCCGAAGGTCTTCTTGAGTCTTACAAGTAGAGTTTTGTTTTGTGAAAATAAAGTTTTAGAAGTTGCCTTTTAGGATATCCCCTGCATATTTTATTTTCCAAAACATATTATATCCTGCTTCCTCTATTGAAAATTCTCATCTTAATTATTATTATTATTTGCAGTAATGGGAATTGAACCCAGGAGTGCTCTCTACCAGTGAGCTACATCCCTAGTCCTTTTAATCTTATTTTGAAAGAGAGTCTAAGTGGCTAAGGCTGTCCTCAAATTTGCCACCCTCCTGCCTCAATCTCGGAGTTGCTGGGACTACAGAGTGACACAGTGCCCAGCTAACTTGTAACAGCTTTGTAGGTATATATGATCACATTGTGTAATTGACAAGCACAGACTGCGATGATTGAAGAATACAGGCTGGTAGGTAAGTTTTGACGTGAGCTCCAATATACATCCACCAAACTGCCCACACATCCAAGGGGCTAAGCAACCTCATGGCCCCCCAATTTTCCCTGCACTCCTCTTCAGTGCTTCCTTCCTTCCCTGTCCCCCACCCCAGGCGACCCCTGATCTGCGTGTCCACTTTGCACACATCCAGGTAAGGGAACCCTGCCTCCTGCATCGGTGTAGCTGGCTTTCACCCCGCGTAGTGATGGTGAGGTCCAGCAAGCGGCCAGCCTGTCAAGAGCAGTCCATTCCCTTCCATCCCATCGTATGGATGTGTTTCCACCTTCCTTAAAAATCATCTTTCTTTGAAGCCATGATTTGGGTTTTTATCTTTGTTTTTTCAACGTACAGTAGAGAGGAGGGGTACCACGGACTTCCTGGTACCCCATCTCCCAGTTGCCACCATTCGCGCTCTTGCCCGCTGGGCTCCGTGCCCGGCACCAGGGGGCGCTGTTCTCCCGGCGCCGCGGTCGGTTAGCTCCTTGCGCGAAGCTACGGGGGCTTCGCGGGGGCAGAGGGGGCGCGCAGGTTGGCTGTGCGTGGAGCGCTGAGCAGGCTTGCTCCAAGAGGCTCCGGAGAAATGGCCCTGGAGGGAAATGGCTCGGGTCCACTGGTGAGGGCCTTGCCTTCGGGGAGGGGTTTCCAAAGCCACTAGAGAGGCCGAGAGCGTGGGGCTGGAAGAAAACAGCTCCGCCTCGCCGTGCTGGACGCCTTGGCGCCGTGTAAAGCGCGTCCACACGCCGCCGCACAAAATGTCCCCGCTTCCCCCACCCCCCAACGACGTCTAGGAGGACCTCACTAGACTTCTAGAGGCTTGTCCGTGCTGGCAGGGGAGGGACTGCGGTCACCTGATCTCCAGACCCCAGGCATCCTCCCACTGGCCTAGCCAGTGTGGGTGTGGTGACAGATGCCACATCCTTGTTCCTGGTTTGAGCCCCACTGCTGCCTGGGAACTTGAACCACCACCCTGTTGGGACTGAATATTCTCTCAGGCCCCCTGGGCTGTCGTCCGCTCAAATGATTACCAGGTGGAGAACCAACCAGGTCCTGGGTACTCTACCTGGGAGGCAGAGTTCAATGGGAAATTGCTTTGGTGGCCTCAGGCTGGGCACCTTCCTTCCTGGGTAATGAGCTCATGGCATTTAGGAGTCATAGAACCTCTGTTCTGTCCAAACCACCGTTCTGACCTTTCTCATCAGAGTCAGGGGCATCTGATCCCCTACAGGGACCCAAAGCTCCTTTGCTGCAAATCCTGGGCGGTACCTCCCCAGGCACGCTGACTCCAGCACTGTCCCGCCTCTCTTGCAACAGTCCTCAGTAGACTCCACCAAGGCGATGCAGCAGGAGAGGCGCTCCTGAGCCTGCAGAGAAGCCCTCCAGTCCTACTGCAGCTGCATCCTGCACTCGGAGGTGATCTGTGCCTGTCCCACCTCCAGGCAACATTTCTAGTGTTTTAAAAAACCCAGAAGGGTGCAGTCCCTCTTGGGGGAAAATATGCCTCATCGGTATCCCAGCACTCAGCACTGAGGGAGGTTCACAGCCAGAAAGACTTAAGCGGCTCCTATACTGCACACCATGGCCAAGTTCACAGCCTCCCTGGGCCCCAGTCCCTCTTGTGAGACAGAGTTGGGGAGGGAATACCAGCTCTGTTCAGCAAGATGACATATATAAAGTGCTGTCTCTTGGAACATCCTTAAGGAATAGTGACCACTGGAGGATACTTCTCCACACCTCCCTCCCTCTCTCTCTCTCTTTGTGTCTCTCTCTCCCTCCCTCCCTCCTCCATCTTTTTTTTTTTTTTTTGGTACTGGGGATTGAACCCAGGATCACTCGACCACTGAGCCACATCCCTAGCCTATTTTTTATTTTATTTAGAGCCAGGGTCTCACTGAGTTGCTTAGTGCCTCACCATTGCTGAGGCTAGCTTTGAACTCTCGATCCTCCTGTCTCAGCCTCCAGAGGAGCTGGGGTTACAGGCGTGTGTCACCTCGTGGTGCTCTTTTATTCTTCTGCCTTTGCCCCCGCACACACACACACACACAACCAGCTACCCAGTCTCATGAAAGTTCCCAAGTAAATGAATGACACCTAGAGACACAGTGTGCTAAATGAACAATTATGAATCTTCACAACTTTTAGTAGAAATGGTACGATCCCAAAGCATACACACGTGAATGAGTAAGCTGCTAAAACTGACATTTGAGGGATAGGATGAGAGCAAGAGTTTCTTGATAAATAAAGTCTTGCTGGAATAAAAGTGACAGAATTAAAAAATACTAGGGATTGATGGATTTTTAAAACGATACACTCTGAAACAACAGGAAGCCATTAGCATCATTGTTATAAGTAGAATCATTCAAAGTGTTAGATCTGCTTTTCCTCTTAAACATCTGGAGAAAAATGGAAAAGACATGAACATTTTGGGTGGAGAATATTCATCTAACAGACTGAAGCCTGGCAGACAGGTTTAAACTCAGACTCCCTGTATATTGGCTGCGTGACTTTGGAAGAGTTTCTAATCTCTCTGGGCCAAAATGGCTTCATCTGTAAAAGGGAGAAAGTGATATCTATTTCAAAAGGCTGTTACAGATAAAGGAAATGAGATGATGAATTTTTATACACTGAATACAGACCTTAACACAAAGTATGAGCCTAACACATTTCTTTTTCTCTCTCCTTTCAGTACACACAGTATTTGCAAGAAAGCTAAATTATTTGGGGAGCATCTCTCCAACGAGCAGGCACTAACACTTAAAGCTACACCCAGGGAAATGTTTTCTCTAGCTGATCCACATCAATACCAGAATTTATGGAACTAGACTGGACAACAGGGATGTTCTGGCTATTCGTTAAACTGTCTCATGTGTTATATTTTAATGAACACAGCAGAATAAAAACTAAACAATAAACTGTATACTTCAAAATAGCTAGTAGAAAGAATTTTAAATGTCCCCAACATAAACCTGGATGCACAGACTGTCACAGGTTTTCCTGTGGCCAAGGACTGTTAATCCTGTATCTTCTGATGAGATCCTAAATTTCCTGGTCATGGAGATTTGTAGTGTGACCCCAATGGAGAGCTTTACGTGTGTGTGTTACATCAAATCTGTTCATAACTCTTCCTAGGCTTACAAACAGAGAGAATATCCTCTGACCTAGTATCTTATTATCAATGTATGGTTCACCTATAAAGAAGAGTTTAATGGACAGAGACTTCTACCCAACATAATGGGTAACTTATCTCAATTCATGAGGCTGAAAATCTCCATGTTTGGAGAGTTTTTTTTATTTTTTATTTTTTGCAGTGCTGGGGGCTCAAACCCAGGGCCTTGTGCTTATGGTAGGCAAGCATTCTACCACTTAGTATACCCCAAGTCTCAGTTTTTAAAATTATTGATTTACTTCTAAAAATTATTTGTTAAAATTCCCAGTTTTAGATACATCGTGACAATATTTCATTCATATCCAGCACCCAGTATATCAGAAGGCCACCAGGAACTAGGATGTAAGCCATAAGAAGAGATCACCTGCCCAGCTAAGATAATTGCCATGAAGGTGGTGACTGCAGCCACGACTGTCCAGGCCATGGAGGAACCTGGCCAGGCCTTAAATCAGAAGCTTGTCCTTCTATGAAACCCATTGGGCCCTGACATTGCTTCTCCTTCCCCAACTGCAGCAGCTCAGAGAGGTGGGGTCTGGCGAGGGAGAGCTGGAGGATACAGAGAAAGGTGGGTGGTGGGGTGGCTGACCACAGCCAGGAGCCACAGCTACAGAGGCCGGCGGAAGGAAGGGCAGAAAGTCAACACCAAGCAGAAGTCCCAGGTGCCACAGCCGTCTGGGCAGGAAATGGGTCTGGGAATGACTGGGTTCTAGTCTCTGCTCTTCCATAACTGGAGGCTTTTGTCAAGTTACATAATTGCTCTGTGCCTCTGTTTCCTCTTTCTCATTTGTAGAAATGGATAACAATTATGGTGGATGGAGGAGGGATGGGGAGAGGATGGTTAGTGGGCACAGGGGTGCAGCTAGATAGGAGGAATAACTTTTTTCTGGGGGGAGCGGGTACTGGGGATTGAACTCAGGGCACTTGATCACTGAGCCACATTCTAGCCCTATTTTTTATTTTATTGAGAGACAGGGTCTCGCTGAGTTGCTTAGTACCTCGCTTTTCTTGAGGCTGGCTTTGAACTTGCCATCCTCCTGCCTCAGCCTCCAGAGCCTCTGGGATTATAGGCGTGCACATCAGGAGGAATAACTTCCAATGTTCTACAGCACAGCAGAATAAAAACTAAAGAATTAACTGTATACTTCAAAATAGCTAGTAGAAAGGATTTTAAATGTCCCCCAACACAATTAAGAGATATTTATCTGTTGTGGTAGATATGCTGATTACCTTGATCTATTATATACTCTACACATGTACTGAAATATCACACCATACCCTATAAATATGTATGATTACTATACACTAATTAAGAATAAAAATATATTTAAAATATGGAATGAAGGTGGAAAGAGTTAATACACCTCTGAGACCCAAGTGTTCATTAAAATACATATGATATTCAGAATGATTGAGGGATACACATAATCAGATTTTACAACATTGTAGTCAACAGAGATTACAATTAGTAGAAGTGGGTGTTTAAGAGGTGAATTACCACTTAGTTCTGATGTTTTCTGATGGAGAACACCTCTGCCCTCCTAAATGTCAGACCTTAGGAACTTAAAGGCTTTCTTCCCGCCTTCCTGCAAAAACTAACATTGCTATTTAGGCCCACAGTCAAGCAAGCCTTTTCTCTGTTCTCTGGGTCATTCTTTCAAATGCTCTGAAGAAAGACCAGCTTCTCTGAGGGGTTTCAAACCCCTTCTCATCAATCTCCCAATTCTCTCCCGGCTCAGTGGTGTTTTAGTAACCCAGAGTCTTGTCAACTGTGCGGCTGCTGAGACGACCAATCCAAGGATGCCATCTACAGAGCATAGAGGTGTGAACCCAGCCTGCCAGTGTGCAGCTGTACCTGGAGCCACTGCGTTTCGAGGATTCTCTGGACCTGAAAATGGTGAACTGGGCTCAAGGGTTCCCTTACAGCCCTGATAATGGAGGAGTCTAGGATTCATTCATTCATTTATTCAAGAAACATTCATGGTCTATGGGATACCAATAAGGCACCCACTGGGTGCCATCACCACCACCTGACTCTATCCCAAGCCTCTCACTGCTATTGCTTGGGTCCAGGACTTTGTCACCTGGAGACTGGAGTAGTTCCCCTTGCTGGTGGCACTCCTGCCTTCCTCTCTCCAGTTCATCCCCCTCACACTACTGGTGGCATCTTCCTACAACACAAAATGTCACCCCCTTACCCTTCAAATTTCTGGACATGGTGGCATGCACCTGTAGTCCTAGGTATTCAGGGGCTGAGGCAGGAAAATCACAAGTTTGAGGACAGCCTCAGCAACTTAGCAAGACTGTCTCAAAAGAAAAAATAAAAAGGGCCGGGATGTAGCTCAGTGATACAGTGTCCCTAGGTTGGGTCCCTAGCTCTAAAAAAAAAAAAAAAAAAGACACCTACAAATTTCATGGTAAAGTTCAAAGCCCCTGACAGGATGCCCTTAGCATGACATGCCTGGGGCGTGGCATACACGCAGAAGACCTTTTTACCTTACACCCCACACGACATGCTGGCCACCACCACTTGTGCACAGATCTCCTCCCAGAAATTTATTTTTCTTTTGCTCACCCTGAAAATGTCCACAGACCTTCGGTTCAACTGGACCTTTGGGAAGGCGTCGTTGTTCCCTGGTGTGGACTCATCATACAGACCACTGGCCACACTGCATTCCTTCTTTTTATCTGGAGATCTTTCTCCCTTGGGACTTCAGACCTCTTTAGGACCAGTGGGGAGTGCACCTGTCTTCATCTCTGGCACCCTGAGCAAGGCCCTACCTGGTAGGTGCCCAAGGAGTTCCTGGGAGTACCTGATGGAGTGAGCAGGCACTAGATACTCAGAGGGAAAATTCATTCTTGCAGTTTTCTCCCTCATTTTCACTTCTGAAGCTTCCCAAGCATTTGAAAATAAACAGTGAAAAAATTACTTCCTTGCTATGTCAGAATCTTTCCCAGATCTCTCAACTGTTGGGTTTTTTAGTGTTATATAACTGAATGCTGATGCAGTCTGAAAGGAATCTTGTTATATAATTCAGTCCTATTCTCTGAAGCTCACTTTTCCTTTTTAAAAGCCTTTAGCAGGGTGGCAGGGGATCTGAGCACCAAAGGCCTGTGTCACTGGATTGTCCCTCTCCCAACCTCCCTGAGGCCTTTTCAGGATTCCCCTGCCTGAAGCCGCCCAGGGAGGCCTTCCTGGACCTGGGTGGCAGTTGTCAAGCCAGACCTGGGGGCTCCAGGGAGGAGGGGGCTGCTTTGCGTCCTTCTCCAGCCGGGAGCTGCAGCTAGGATCCCGCTCATCAGCTCTGCTGGAGCGAAGACTGCCAAGCCAGAGCGCTGGTCGGTATTGTTTTTCTAGAACAGCAGGGCTGTTATTACAAGTGTTCTGGAAGGGAGAATAAGGAAGCTAAAAAGAGATTCCACAGCATCTTAAAAATAGCCAGTAATATGGGAATTGACTGACCAGCAAGGCAAAGATCCGGATGCGATGGACTCGGCAGGGCGGTTTTGAAGCACTGTTTGGCCGACTGTCCACCACTTAGCACCTCCTCCCACAGATGGCCAGGGTGGATCCCTTGAGGAAAGGCCAGACTGCTGGCCAGTTCCCACCTGGGCTGCAAGGACCCTGCGCTTTGAGGGCGGGCACTCCAGCCCCAGAGGGAAAGCAAGTGCGCTCCAGCGAGGAAAGCCGGGGAGGGTCTGGGCCAAGGGATGTCTGTCTATCCGTAAGACTGCTCCCAGCAAGACCTCCCCAAACTGGAGCCAGACCCGCACCCAGAGAGGAGCAGAGTGTTAGGGAAAGACCGAGAGCCCCAGTGGGGACTCGGTGGGGACGCGCGGGTGAGCAGGCGGGCAGAGGCGTCGCGCGAGCGAGGGAGGCTGCCAGGGACGCGGCGACGGAGGCCCCGGTGCGGGGAGGCACACTGGGAGGGCGGGGCAGGCGCCGAGGCCTGCGGGCAGGGGACGGCGGGCCAGGCCGGTGCACCGGTGCGGCCGGCTCCCACACTCACCGCGCTGCGGGCGCCCGCGGCGGGTCGGGGCCGGGCCGCGCCGCGCGGGACGGGCTCCTGCGGGCCCCAGGCCGCGGACTCGGCCAGCAGCTGGTCCAGCAGGCGCAGGGTCTCCTCCCGGCCGTCGGGGGTCGCCGCGGGGCCGGGGTCGTGGCCGGCCGCCTCCTGCGCCGCCGTCGCGCCTGCCCCCGGGGCCTCGGCCGCCGTCGCCGTCGCCGCCCCGCCCTCCGGGGCTGCCTGGCCTGGCCCAGCCGGGTGGCTGTCGGGGCTGCGCTGCCGCCTCAGGGTCCGGCCGCTCCGGCTGCTGCCGCTGCCCATGGCGCGCCAGCCGCCGGCCCCGAGCGCTAGCAGGCCCCGCGCGGGGGCGCGGCCTGGAGGGGGAGCGCGAGGGAGGGACGCCGGCCGGGGAGTGCCCGCGACCAGCGGGGAGAGGCGTGGGGACTGCGGGCCCAGCGCGGCGAGGGCACGCGGGAGGGGCGCGTCCCGAGGGCGTGGTTGCGACCCCGAGTTGGGCTGGAGGAGAACCGGGCCAGACGGGGAAGCCGCGCGGCCGCGGGGCGAGGACACGGTGGCGGGAGCGGACATGGGGGCGAGGTCGTCAGGATAGGGCCCGAGCTTGGGTGGGGGGCGAGGACACGGGGGGGGGTGCGAGAACACTGGAGGGGGCGAGGACACCAGGGGATGGGGACATTGGAGGGGGGTGAGGACACGGGGTGGGGGGCGGGCATGGGTGGGGGGCAAGGACTGCGGGGGCGGGCATTGGGGGGCGAAAACACTGGAGGGGGTCGAGAATGGGGGGGGGTGGTAACATTGGAACGGGGCGGGGACACCAGGGGAGGGTGGGCATGGGTAGGGGATGAGGTCATGGTGTGGGGCACGCGCATGGGCTGGCGAGAACACTGGAGGGGGGCGACATTGGAAGGGGTGAGGACACCGGGGTGGGGGGTGGGGACATTGGAAAGGGTGAGGACACTGGCATGGGTGGGGGCTGAGGACACTGGGTCGGGGCGAGGACACGGTTGGGGGGGCAGGGACATTGGAATGGGGCAAGTACACTGGAGGGTGACTAGGATACCCGGGGGTGGGCATAGGTGGGGGGCGAGGACACTGGGGGGTAGATGTGGAAGAAGGACGGGGAAACTGGGGGCAGACACTGAGGTGGGAAATGCAGACATTGGGGTGTGGGGCGAGGACACCAGGAGAGCGAGGACCCCGAGGTGGGGAGTGCGGACTCTGGGGTGGGGGGCGAGGACACTGCACGAGGTGCGCTGCCGTCGCTGGGGCAGGGTGGCGGCTGCAGGCGCGCCCTGGGCCTGCCAGGCCTCCTCCATCCCCCACCCTCCCCTCCCCTCCCTCCGCCTGGCGCCCAGCCCCCTGCCGGCGGGTCCACCCGCGGGCTGGCCCTCCCGCACGCACGCTCCGGTTGTCGGGGTCCTCCTCCTAGAAGAAGAACTGAAAACACTCGGAGCTCCACAGCCTTCGGGGCGACCCGACTGGGTTCGCTGGTCCGTCGGAGCACACCAACAGGCCTGCGCCAGGTGCTGGTGGAGGTGACTTGACCCCGCCCTGCTGCAGCTTAGAGGAGGGGGGAGTTACCTCACCCCTTGGAGTCTCAGATTCCTCACACCTTAAATTGGGGAGCGGGGCGGGGAGGTGGAAATATCTCAGAGGAGTGAGTAAAATGATGAATTCTCAAGGCCTCGCGCTGGCCGCCCAGACAGACCTAAGAAGACAGCGGGAAGGAGAGTGACCCTAAGGACCCTCGGCTCCTGAATGCCGAGTCTGATCTAAACTCCCCACATATTAATCACTTTGGAGAGAGAAAAAATTTTTAAACGAGACAGAAAAAGCAGCCCTCACCCCCACCCCCCTACATACGCAAAGGAAATACCAGCCATCTTTACCGTTGGTTGTTCCTATATTTTACTTGGTGGTGCTTATCTCCTTCTGTTCCCACTTCCCCTTAAACCCCAACTTTTCCAAGACAGGGCAATTCAAATGTCCTGGGTTTAGTTCTCACATCTTGCTTAACATTAACCCAAATCCAGGCTGGCTTGCAGAACGACTGTGAAAATGGAATTTTGGCTACAGTTTTCTAACCATAGAATGAAACTTTCCTATTTTATCATTTCAGGAGCAGACATTGTGCTCAAGAAAATGGAATGAACATGAGACTCAAATCCATGTCCATTTGTTTTTATTATCAAGAGAACAAGAAAGTGTTCTTGATTTTTAAAAAATATGCTTTCTTAACCATCCAGATGTAGGGGACAGGGCCAAATATATTATTTGATATCATTTGGGTGTTCCAAGTCCACAGATGTGTCTAGTTTGGAAGCTATTGATACAAGTTTTCTCTTTAAGAAAATAAATCTCATCTTGAAACTCTTTAAGCCTGGAAAAAAATAATTCAGAGGGAAAGAAATTTTTCTTGAATTAAGTTCAACTAAGTTTAATCATTTAAAGGAAAACATGTTTTACTTCTGCCTAAATAGAGCCTAGTCATGTGATTCATAGTTTAAATATATCCACAGCTCCCTGTGTTCACCTCCCAGGGCAACTGATTTTTTTCAAGCCTCTTTTGATTCTAGGCTGGTTTCCCTAGACTTGTCTGGTTAGGTCTACTTCAGTGGGAACAGTGCCAAAGCCTGTGCTCTTTCTACTCTTGAGAGTACATTTAAAATCAGTTACATTTATAGACCTGGCTTCTGTCAAATAGGCTAAAAATCCAGATTGGTTTTTATTACAACATCCCATAATAAGCAAACAACCTAAGCTTTTCCCACATGACTAATGCCTCTAAGATCATCTGTAGAGATAAACAAAAATCTTTGTCCCAGAGAGTTAGAAAAGTTCAAAGACTATTGGAGAATGGCAGATGAGGTCTAATCCCTTGTACCAGGGAAAGATCCTGACTTGATAGTGAAAGGTTTCCTTTACACAGTGATTGAGTAGCAGTTACTGGTGATGGTGGGTGGAAGATGAAGCCTGCTTAACTCTTGCAAGATGAAAACTTTTTCTTTTGAGTGCTGAGAATGGAACCCAGGGCCTCATTCATGCTAAGCAGGAAGTCTATCTCTACCTCTAAATTATACATCCAGACTAGATATTCCTTCCAATGAATAAATGAAACATTGGAAGAAAATTGCAGTTGATGATACTTGCAGTAGGAGACATGTCCCTGAACGGGCCAACCTGGATGGAAGCGGGTTTCTTCCTTATCGCAGCCGGTGGACCAGGATTCCTTGTAATAGGTAGCCAAACCCACCACCTTTCAAAAGGGCTCTTCTTTCAGGACCCTCAGATCTACTCACCTTGCTCAGAACCTCTACCTGTGTTCCACCACTCATGACACATCATAAGCCATGTCAGAGGAGAGATGTGTAGGGGCTGGTTATTATGAATATGCAGAAAGATAGTATATATGGGCTGGGGATGTAGCTCAGTGGTATAGAACATATGCGAGGCCCCTGGTTCAGTCCCCCAACATCAAAAAGAGCATTAGTGTTTACATTCGGCTGACAAAGAGACAGTATTTGAAACAAGAAAGCCATGCTTTTGCTTAAATGCTTAATAAGTAAGTTGAGGTAACCCCAGTGCTATTACTTAGTACTAATGCCGTTAAGCAACAGTATCCCACGTAATTGCTCTTGTCTTTCCATAGTGTCCAAGGTTTTGCATTTGGTTTCACCACTGGAAGGGAAAAAAGGTAAGGGAGAGTGAACACTATTCATTAAAGGCAATTAATGAGTTGCAGAACTCCTTTGCAATATTTACTCGGAAATAAGATAAGTCCTCAGAGTTGGCAGGTCTAGAGTCTGGTTGATTTGGCCCACTTGTAAACAGTTCTGCCCATACACAGTCAAAAAGGGTGACTCTACTCCTTTTAAATGAAAGAGAGAAACTAGAACTTATGCAGTTTCCATTACTCCTCTAATTCATATTACTTAGACATCTTTGGGCTTCTGGTTCAAAACATCAGATCTGGTGCAGAGTTTACTTCTCTTATTACTTGGGACCTGGGTGAAATTCAGACAAAAGTAAAAGGGGCTCATGCCTGTAATCCCAGCAGCTTGGGAGGCTGAGACAGAAGGATTGAGAGTTCAGAACCAGCCTTAGCAACTTAGCAAGGCCTTAAGCGACTCAGTGAGACTCGGCCTCTAAATAAAATACAAAATGCAGATGGGGATGTTGCTCAGTGCTTAAGTGCCCCTGGGTTCACTATCCAATACCAATAAATAAATAAATATAAATAAATAAATAAATAAATAAATAAATGGGGAGAGGAAGACATGTGAGGGGCAAAGGCAATCATAATGAGCGATCCCACCATATTTCTGGACCATGAAGAACTGAGAGTAGTTCATTGCCAAAGAACACATGCAGAGAAATTGCAGCTTACAGTATATGTCAGGAGGCAGAGAGGAAGTGGGGACAGAGGAAGGGGCCAGACAGGAAGGTCTTTATATGGAACAAGAATGTCCCTTCCCCCACCCACCCCATTCATGTTTACAGAAAAAGAGCCAGGTGGCCTATGTGATTTGATTTTACTTTGTTGATGTACATATGACTGATTCATATTCTCTCTCTCTCTCTCTCTGTCTCTGTCTCTCTCTCTCTCTCTCTCTCTTTCTCTCTCTCTCTCAGGCCCAGGACAAAACCTAGGACCTTGCAAATGCTAGGCAAGAGCTAAACCCCTGACCCCCTACATAAGGCTCTTCTGCTGGGTTTCTCTAGGGTAGGATTCAGATGGGAGCTGGGACTTACTTATGGGCAGGTTTGGGTCCTGCAGGCAGGCAGCTAGCCTATGTGAGTTTCAAGGTTCGCCACGAGCTAGGAGGCTGCTACCACTGTCCCTTCTTCTGTGCTGTGGATGTGGCGATGACAGATCTCTGGACAGGACAAGGACTGTTCCCATCCAGGACAGTATCTGCAGTTGCTGGCCTCCCTGATGCAGGCTCCCTTTTTGCAGATCTGCTGCATAAAGAGATCTCCTAACCTGACTCACCTTCCCTGGGAGGGATCCCTACTTTGGAGCAGGAGATTTGGAGGTCTCTCTGGACGTGTTAGGGTGATCATCCTGAGGAAATTGTGTGGGGGGAGGTGAGAGGGGGGTGGTGGAGAGGGAAAACAGGCCTGTGTAAACTTGGCCATTCACATGGAATATTAATCACAGAAGTTAGCCATTGCAGCGCTGCTGGCTACAGAGAATGAGCACAAACTTTAAACGACCCACTTGAAGCTCAGACACCCCCACCATGAGTGGCAGCTTCTTCAGTGTGAAAGTTGCCCTGTTGGGAAGGTTATATCTGCACACGAGCAGCCATGGCCTCAGAGAGCTCCAGAGGTTTAAATTCCTACTCCCCATTAGTAATCTGAGACTTGACTAGTCAATTAAGCAGCTCAAAGGAATAAAGGTCTCTAGTTCAAGCTCAGGTTAAATATTAAAAGGGTCTCCTGGCTCTTTAACTTGTAGCTTGCTAACTTGTTAAATGGAGCAGAAGTCTGCTGCTCAGAGGGATTACTGATTGATACTGGGCACACTGGACAAGCCTCCTGGCTGGCAGGATCACTGTCCTGGGATTGCGGCTTCCTTCCACCAAGTGATTGCCTCCAACCTGCTGTCTCTTCCTGCAAGGCTGCCTGGCCCTGCCGGATCCTTGACAGACCCTGGCTCTTTAACAGAGCCTCACAACAACGCAAGAAGGTGGGCATTATCTTCTTCCAGTTCATGGGGGACAGAAGAAAGTCCCAGAAGAGCAGGAGCTTGCTGAGATCTGGGCAAGTGCTCCACCACAGAGCCACCCCCAGCCCCTGCCTGAGGTCTCGACAGTAGTCAGTAGACCCGGGGCTTGAACTCAATTCTGAGTGGTCCTCCTGGTCTTCCCATTATGCTAGCTGTTATGGTTTGGACCTGGAGTGTCCCCCCAAGGCTCGTGGTCCCCAGTGCAGCAGTGTTCAGAGGTGGGGCTTTGGATCAGGAGGACTCTGAGCTTCTCAGTGGACTAACCCATTGGTCCCCAGCTAATGGAATTAGGGGACGGTGAAGCCTAGTTGGAAGAAGTCACCAGAGGTGTGCCCTGGAAGAATTTACCTTGTCCCTAGCCCCTTCCCTTTCTCTGCTTCCTGACTGTCGTGACTGAGCAGCTTTCCTCTGCTATACCCTTCCACCATGATGTCCCCAAGGCAATGGACAGACAACCATGGACTGACACCTCTGAAACCATGAGCCAAAAGAGATCTTTCCATTCAGCTGTTTGTGTTAGTCATTTGTGTCCTAGGGATGAAAAGCTGACCAACACACTAGCTATACCCAAATAAATGGGTAACCTAGCAGAATAGACGTGCTAGGCCTGCGTATAAAGAGCCACCACTGGTACCCAGGTCCGCCATGTAGATAGGGTAGATAGACTGGGTAGAAACTCTTATTACAAGTAGATAGGATGACCATCCATTTCTGTTGACTCAGGACTCAGGATATTCTCAGGTTATGGGACTTTCAACCAGATTAGTGGGTCACCCTCCATATCGGGGTGTGCAGAGTTTTCACTGACCAAGGAGTAGGTAGAGGCTGCAAGGCAGCTAAGCTCCCTTCATCAAGCTTTGCTTATAAAGCAGGGCTGCATCCCTCGAACGGAAAGTAGAGTGTGGACTAGCGAAGGCCCTACTAGTTCCTTTGGCATGATCAGCCCAGAAATTCAAGTAATTCAATGCTTAGGGTAATGGCTTCATTTAAAAACCAACTTTTTTTTAACCCTCTCTTTCTAAGGAATTTCTCCCACTTTCTACAAACACACGTGTGCACATGCACACACACTCAAAAGGCTCAAAGTGCACATTCCTAATCCTGTACTATGAACTGCTCTGGTCACAGAAGGAAAAGGAAGGTGGAGAAATAGGCAGGTCCAGGGTGCTGTGTCTGATAGCACTGAGAGCTGCTCTCCCTGCGTTTCCTCCTGGATGCCCAGTAGGGAGGCACTTCCCCTCTATGGTCCTGGACAGTCTCTGGCCTTTCACTGTGGACAGAAATGACTGGAGCATTCAATTCTAGTGAATGTTAGAGTCTGTAAACAAGTCAAAAATAACACCTGGCATTTTGCCAGGGGAATGTTAGAGTTCCTAAACAAGTCTGGATGGTGCCTGGCAAAATGCCAGAGGGAGTGGTTTGAGAAGTAACAAAAGCGAGCCATTAAGTGTGGAGATTCCTTATTGGTTGACTGATGTATCTAGTTTATGCTAATTAGATAAGCTGTGTGGAATGTATAAATACTGCTCCTGTCCTGCAATAAACGGCTCCCACTCCTGCTGTATCAACGTGCACAAGTTGTTCGTCACCCCCTGGTTATTTTGCTGCAGCCAGACAGACTGCGGCAAATTCTAGTGAAGCGTTCTC